TCGGGGGCCCTGCGGTCGCCGCGCGGGAAGCGCGGCGCGATGGCGGTGCCTCGGTCCCTTGGCTGTCGGGTGCGAGCGGTAGACCGGAGGGAGGGAGGGAGGGCGGGCAGCTGGCGCCCTGAGGAAAGGCCGTGACACGAGGGCGCGACGCTCCCCGCGCCTTTGGCGGCGAAAGTAGCGGTGAGAGACGGACGAAGCTGTGGGCGGCCGGCGCAGCCCGCCCGCGAGGCCGCCCCGCGCCCGAGCCTTGGGCCCGGCGCTCCGAGGCGCGGCTCCGTCCCGAGGGCTCGGTGCGTGGCTCTGGGCAAGCGCCGCTGCGTCTCCCGACCGGTCCGCCCGTCCCGCCTGGGCGTTGAGGAGGATCTTTCAGGGCTGGGAGAGGATTCTTGCTGGGTTTGAGTAGGCCGAGTTTTGTAAGGGGATATGGCTGGCGGATTTGGGTTCCTGTGGTAATAAAAGCGCTTGTAACCACAGATGGACTACGAGTGCTTGTATTTCACTCTTAACGTAGAGAAGCGAGTTGCCTTTAAGGCATTTTCTGCCTGAGCCCTTCAGAGCACGTTACCTAGTATTAATTAAAATCAAAACTCGCTGCTGTCACCCACATGAGTTAGTCAAGTATCGCTGTCATCCTAAACTTGTGCGTGAAGAAGGGACCAACGTTTTATGTTGTCTGGTATTTCCTAAGCTGTGCCTTGCAGAAGCAGACCTGCGGAGGTTATGAAGTTTGAGGCGCTGGCAGCTCAGCCAGCACGGTGTGAGTGAGGGGTGTGGAGGCTGAAAAGTTTGCCCTTGCAAGGGAATTTACAACTGCCTTTCGCTGCTGGGAGCAGCTCAGTTGCTTCAGCATGGGAAAGCAAGTGGGAGGCTGGCACCTGCTGACAGGTTGCTGTTACCCGTCTGTGGAGGAACCGAACCTCTGTTAAGTTGCAGAGAGAAAGATGGGTGAAAGCAGGTTGTGCTCTGAAAAGCAGGAGAAACTACCTGACCTTGTGCGTAGCACGGACTGTACTTATCTTTGTGCCTCTGCGCTAAACCCAGGGGGGCACCTGAGGAAATGGTGTTGCTCTGGCTTTCGTGGCAGTTTCGGACTGGAGCTGGTGAGAAGTTGGGTCATCTTGATGCCTTGTGGCATTTGTGTTCTGACCTGTGTTTTTTCACCGAGTGTTAGAGTGCTAAAGCAGTGAGCCTTGGCTGCTTGGCTTGTTATTGAGGCTGTGTTGGAGTCTTATGCTTCTCCAGGAAGCTGAACTGGTCTCACACTTTTGAATATGAATTTCAGCATAGGTATTGAGGATTGTAGGACTCCACTCATGGCCATGCTTTCACTGCCTCCTTTCATACAAAAAAGTCCTTCAGAAATAGCGCTTGCTCTCTTGACTTTTCATCTAGTGGAGGTGTGAATATAAATTAAGAGGAATATGTGTGCTGTGTTTTAATATTAGTAAGGAATAAGTTGCTGCCTGTAAAAGCTGCTTCTGTTGTTCCAATTGTTGCTGAATCCCATTGAGAGGAAACAGAAACCTGGTGCAGTGTTAGGAACAAAAGAAATTTTACCCAATGTATGAAACTTTGAACTATGCCTGTAACATGAAGTCTTTTTTTGTCTAGGTCTACCCTTGTAAGATCACCCCTGCCTGTTTAGATTTTAAAGGTGTTGAGTCTGTAGTAGGGGTTTTTTTTGTGGTTTAAGTTTCTTAAGTATAAACTTCATGTACCTTAAAGTTGCACAGTCTCTGTTTAGACCTCTGTGAGGTCTCAAGGGAGCAAAATTATTTAATGGAAATGGAAGGGCAGCTGTGGTCTTGTACTTGGCACTTCAGGACTCAAAGTGCCTTAACAGTTGTTGTTACAGCACCCCTCTGTGGAAGCAGGTGGCATTCATAGACAAACAGGGGATGGAGAAGTTGCAGGTTTTAGATTTTTCTGTTAGAATTAGCTGCTTCAGTATCTGTCTCTTTGAAATGTCAGACTTAGGGGTGCCAGTTGCTCCAAGTTCTCCCTGGCCGTAGGTTCAGTAAGTAGTACTGCTCTTTCCATGGAACAATTCCACTGTTTCCCAATCGGAGACCAAAGTGAATGACTCCATCTGAAAACTTCTGCCAAAATGGCTTGTGTGGAGGCTGAGTTTTAGATCCATGACCGGTGCTGAGGTCGCTTGAATTTCAGTGACCTGCTTTGACAAGTCATGTTGCTTTTTATTGTGTATTGCGATCCCACAGTTACTAGTTAAATGAGTCTGGGCACATGGAAAGAAAGAATCGGGTAGCACCTTTATATTAATGCTTTGTCCTCTTTCCTTGTAGGAGAACCACATCCATGACAAGCTGGTATCTCTTAGTTTGCTTCAGAAAGACTTTGTGCCTTTTCTGCTAAATTTTTTAAGGGAGCAGACCAGCCAGATCCTGACTAATGGACCCTCTACTCCTGCTAAAACTCCTAGTTCCAAGGCCCACGGGAGCCAAAGGACAGGACCAGAAAGGAGGGCAGGCCATGCAACCAGCAGCCGAGTGCAGCTCTTCTCCCAAAGGACTTCGGTGACCACCTGCACCACAGATACCAGTTTCTCTCCTGCTGCAGCATCCAGCAGCTCCTCTTCCTTTTCTGGGTCAAACCTGTCTAGCTCTTGCAGTGACTTCCCTAGCATGGTCTCCAGTAGCAGCCCGAGCTTTGGGTACAGCCCTGTGTTTAACCATGGTGAGAAGCGGTCATCTCAGAAGGCCAGCTTGGGGAGCTTCCTCACAGCCACACCTGAAGCCCTGCCAGCAAGACGAGGCCGAAGGAAAGGCAGCAGCTCAGTCAGTGCCTCTGGCCGGCAGGTAGCTCGGGATCTGGGGCGTTCCCTTGCTGAAGAGGAAGACGGAAAGAATGACAGTGTATCATGGAGTGGAGGAAGAAGGAAGCGGAGTGAAGCATCTCTTGTTTCTGCCAGATCCCCACCCAGCCAGCTAAATCTTAACAACTTGGAGGAGTTTCCACCAATGGGTGCTGCCTCTGGCTGGACAAAGTAAGAGCAAGTCTGCCTCACTGTCTCATTCGGATTGTGCTGCAGGTCACTGTTCCTTGACTAGCTCATCCTGTTGTGTGTGTCCACATACAGAAGATGCTGTAATAAACAATACCCGGGGGCTG